TCATACCCTTTAAGGAGCGTGTAAGGTTTTATTTTGGAGGCTAAACATTGACTTCAATTGTGGTGTTAAGAACAACACAATTAATGAGGTTGTTTTGGCAAACTATTTTTCTTCTGCTCCCTATTTTCTCTCTTCTCACCTTGTTTTTGTGCTTGACATTCCAAAAATTAAATGTGTTATGTTAGTTTGTATCAATTTTGATTATTATTCTTTTGATTATTATTTATTTTGTTTTTAATGATTTTTGAAGTACATTTTTTTTTACTTTTTCCTTGAACATTTGATTTCATTTAATTTTTATATCCAATTTGATTCTTATTTTTTTATTTGATTGTTTTTTAATTTCATCCCTTATTATTTTATTTTGTTTGATTTTTATACCAAATTTGATCCTTATTCTTTTAATTTTTATATATTGTTTTTAAAAAAATTCATTTCTTGATTGATTTTTTTTCATTGTCATCCCGTATTGTTTGGATGATTGAAAATTTTGCTTCTTAATATTTTTGTGTTTGCCTTCTATGATGTAATCTTGGTTTCATAACCTAGATCACGAGTTTTGAAGATTAGCTTGATTTAACTTTGATTTTTTTAGGTTATTTTTTTAAGTTTATTTTTTTTTCAATTTCATCTTTCGACATTAGGTTATTGAGTTTTGAGCTTCTTGATTTTTTATGTTTTTTTTCTATGGACTTATCCCAATCTCATGTCCTAAGTCGTGGGTTGGTAGAGTTACCCGAGTTAATTCAGGTTTTTTTTATGTTGTTTTAATTATTGCTTTTTTAGTTTCACCTTTCATTATTTTGTTTGCTTGAGAGATAATCTCCTATTATTTTATTAAATTTATTTTGTATGAAGTTATCTTGGTCTCACAACCGTGTGATAAATTTGGCAAGCTAACTTAAGTTGAGTTTTTTTTTAATTTTTTTTCTAATTCATCCTATATTTGATTTTTTAGTAATTGAGCTTCATTTCTTTTTTTTTTTACTTTCCTCTTAATGATGTTATCATGCTCTCATTTAATTTTTTGCTTTCTTATTGAATAAGATTGCTTAGATATTTTAAAAATATTTAGAAAGTATCTTTTTATAATATTGACAAGTATTCAATTTTTTATTAGTCATGTCATTTTTTTTGTTGGATTTTTTAAATAATTATATTATTAAATTAATAAAACTTATTAAGTCCATTGAAATCAATGATCAAGGTCTACATTTTTTCTTGCTCTTTTAAAAAAATATAATTATTTAGGTGTTTTTTTTATATTAACAAAAAATTGACCCGGTTTATAGCAAAGTGATGATCACTTATCTAGTTATTAAAAGAAGCTAAAACCCTTTGAAAAAACATTGTAACTCCATGCCAAAAAAACAATTGTTTACTTGAATAGAATAATGATGATTTTGCTCCTCCACCCAAAAAAAACTTAACTTCAGTCATTGAAATATTTTCACAAAACCTATTAGTCATTTTTAAAACCTATTAGTCATTTTTAAATCCATCAAGGATAAATAAGTATATTTTTTCATTTTAATTGCACAATGAAATGATTAAAATACATTTGGAAGCAAAAATAATAATAATTAAAACTAGCCACAATAAGCATTTTTGTTATTTTCATAATGTTTTTTTCATCATTATAATATTAGATGAGGGGCTATTTGGTATTTGATTAAATATAAGAAAATAATAAACAATTAAAAAGCATAGTAAAACGATTAAAATACCTTTAAAGCAAAAGATTTTGATACTGGAGTCAAGGGGATTTTTCATCTTTTCACAATGTTTTTTTTTTCATTATTATTAATTTAGTTAAGGAAAAATTTGGTATTTAAATAAAAATATTATAGGTTCGTGAGAGGTGTGCACGCACTTTGGACAGTGTGTGCGGCATTTTCTAGCATCCAAAATGCCCTTCAACCATGTCATTGAAAGCACTGCCATGTTCCTTTTCCTATAAAAGAACATGTGTTAGCTTATTTGGTTTATTGCTGGTGAACCTCTCTTTCTCCCTTTTCTTTTTTCTCTCCTCCAAAAATTATTACTTGACTCTTTTTGTTGTTTGTATTTCAACTTTAGTGCTTCTTATTTTAATTTTAATTTTTGGTCTTTTTATAAAAATTTTATTTGTTTTTAATTTTCTCATTCAATTTCAATTTACAGATATTAAATTTTTCAATTTGATCATTATTGTTTTGATTTTTAATTTTTTTCTTGATTCTTTTGTAGATATTTTATTTGTTTTTAATTTCATTATTCAATCCAAATTGATGATATTATATTTTTTAATTTGATCCACATTGTTTTGATATCTATTTTTTTTCTTAACCCTTTTTAAAAAGTTATTATTCTTTTCAATTTCATCACTCACCCTTTAATCATAAGTTTTTTTTTTATGTTAATTTGGTTTCTCATTCTTTTTTTTTTCCTTTTGCAAAATTGATTGTTTTTTTAATTTCACCCTTCAATCAAATATAAAATCTATTTGGTATTTGAATTTTGATCCTTATTATTTTAATTGCTATTTTTTAAATCATTTTGTATAATTAAAATTATTTTTTATTTCATCCTTTAATATTTAATTGATTGAAAATTAGATTTATGATTTTTCTAAATAGGGGCCTGTGGGTCTAATGAAATGGGTCATGGATTTGAAAAGTTAACACAATTTTTTTTTAAAATCTTTATAATTCTTTTTTTATTAGGTTATTCTAATTTCATGATTTAGACATGTTTTTAGCAATATATTCTTGGTTAGTTTGACCCAGATTACCATGGTTACAGATCTATCATACTGACTCGAGTTAACTAGAATCACTTATTTTTATGTTCTTTTTTTACCTTGTTTCACACTCTCATATTGAATGGGATGTGATTTGAGATACATCATTCTTTCTATTTTGAAATATAATCCTAGGCTTGGTGGAATATTCCTAGTTGGCTAAACCCTAATTACTGAGATTATAAGTTTGTCATATTAATTCAGGTTAATCAAAATTAATTTTTTTATATTTTTTCTATACTGTTTATTTTTTTGTATTTAATGGGCTGTATATTAAAATACATCATTTATTCCCTTTTGAAAATTTTTTTCTCATGATATCCTAATCACTTGAAATGATCTACTGTGAATTATTATTTTTTTCATCTAATTAAATTAACTTATTCAATTTAGTCGGTATATGACCCAAATCCCATATTTTTTTCCATGTCAGTGGCAGGTTAACATTATTTCGTAAAAGCAATCAATCAGTCTCTGTATAAAAACGGCACGTTGAGGGATGAATTGAGGAGCTCGGGGGTGGCTCTGGTCCCTTCAAAGTTTGAAAAGTGTTTAAAAAAACCCCACCCCCCGTTTTACTAAGTTTAAATTCGTCCTTTGGAAAATTGACTGGAAGGAAATTTATTGATCAATAAATATTTTCTTTCATATTACTTGATTCTAACAAGGAATTGGATTTACTGTTATATAGAATAATTGTTCCAGGAGTTTATGAATTGAATTGAATTTATAAGGTCAAGTCTAAAAAGAAATTTATAAATAACATCTTGTATGAAGCCTGAAATTACTCTTTCATGTTTTCATTATTTTTCTAGATAATTTTGAATTTTAAGTATTTATTTTTTACATAGTTTAGAACTTTTAATTTAATTAGTATTTTACTATTTAGAAATTCTAATGCTTGATATATTATATAAATTAAATAAGTTTTAAATATGAATAATTTTTTAAAGAGGATTTTAGGATATACACACACTAGTGATGTCAAGTTTGTTTTACGAAGAAAAAGGATTATTATTTAAATTGAATAAAAAATACAAGAAAATTTTCCCTAGATTTCTTTACCGTTTGGTTTGTAATTTAGAGTTCGTCTTTGTGTATAATTTATACGTGCTGGATGCGTGGCTTCCAACTCTAATTGTTATTTACTTAACCTATGAAAGTCACGACTATAAATTTAGTTAAGAAGGAGCTCCAAAGACTGTTAAGAAAATGAAATAAAACCTGTGACAGCTAAATACGGAATACATGGCAGACACAAATTGCAAATTCTTCATCTGGGACAATTTATATATAAGCACACGCACACAACACAAATTGTTAGGATAGTGACATGCAAACCGGACAAGATAAAAAATAAGAGATAAGATAAAATAAGAAACGACACACAAGAATACCATGCACTAAAATGTTTCCGAAGCTTGATCAAATAGTTCAGAGGAAGAAATAACTTTAGAAGAGGAAAAATTCGCGATCAAAACACAAGTATCAAGCACGAACGTACTACTATTCTTGGTTGCTGATGCATTTCTACCGCAAGTTCAAAACCAGCTGGTGAAAAGTCTCGTATATATTTGTCGTAAATTTTCAAGCTTTTCACAAATTTCTTAATATTACTGCAACTTTGTTTCTCTTTCTTTCGTACAAATTTCATAAGGAGGTCTAATGAGTCAGTTTCTTTTGGTGTGTTTATAATGCTTGGATGCATTGCCTATTTATATGCAAACATCCATGCAAAAGATAAGAGTAAGGTAGGTGGCACCAAATTTATGCCTAACATTGTTGACAAATTGGTGCCTAACATTCTGCTCTGATGTTTGGCTGATAGTGATCCACCCACCTATTAATTTACGTTTGTCTGTATTCGTATCAAAAGCCAGTCATATAACATATGTAGGTATTTCGGAATTTCAGTCACAAAGGTCATCTACTTCTTCCTCTACCTCCTTTCAGGATGATGTTTTCACTGAGTTGTTTACGTTTTTTCTAGGCCGTAAGAGGATTTGCACCATAGATACTTATTAGTGTTCACCGGTTTTGTCAAAACATCTGCTGGGTTTTCCTTTGTGTAAATCTTTTGAAAATCCACACTTCCATCTTCCACCTCTTCGCGAACAAAGTGATACTGAACATCTATGTGTTTTGTTCTTGAATGAAACGCTGGATTCTTTGCAATATACCAGAGAGAAAGCTGGTCAAACAATTGCGTGCTTCAAACATGAATTCTTTTGTTGCGGACAGCACTCCTGCAGTCAACGGGAAATATCAGAAACTCACTGACGATTGGGAATCAAAGAAGCTTGATTTGATAACTGGTGGAAGGTTGCTTCAAGATGGCCTTGTTTACAGGCAAAACATTTCGGTTAGATCTTTTGAAATAGGCGGTGACAGAAAAATGTCCTTCGGTGCCTTGCTGAATCACTTACAGGTTAATTTTGTTTCTATTTCATTTCCAAACACCTAGCACTAGCATTCCTTCCATTTCCCTAGCATGTGTGAGGTTTTATCTTAGGTTGATTGTTCCAAAGCCAAGTAGTTTGCCAGTGCCTTCAGACGCGTTTTATTGTTCGTCTGATTGCTCTTTGGGTAAATTGTCTTGATTTGCATGTTTTTTTGGCAACGGGAGAGGGTCTGTATTCGCCTCCTGTGTTTTTTTTGGTTTCGTAAATTTGGCCTCTGCCCTGTTATATATATATATATATATATGTCATCCTTGATAATTAATTTATAAACCTTAATTTGACAACTCATATTAATTGTCTCCCCGCATTTATATATTTGTGCAGGATACTGCACTTAACCAATGTAGAATTACAGGGCTAATGGTGGATGGTTTTGGTTCAACACGAGAGATGAGTAGAAATAACCTTATATGGGTAGTTTCAACTCTGCATATAGTAGTGGATCGCTATCCTACGTGGTAATGCAATACACACACACACACACACACATCTGTTTTCTTATCTTCAAGAGTTTTTGGGATTCTGTTTGGATTTAAATGCATGATGCTTTAACATTAACAATCGCACAAAGCTTGAGGTTTCGAAGTAATGATATATTGTGATGCTCTTCTGTCAATAACAATCGAAGGACTGATGTTGTTGAAGTAGACACTTGGATGTATGCGTCGGGAAAGAATGGTCTGGGTCGTGACTGGATATTTCGTGACAGCAGGACTGGTGAAACTCTGGCTAGCGCAACCAGGTTCTTTTTATATCATTATCCTGTAAATTAATTACCAGCAACAAGTCATTTCGTTTTTTCTCCAAAAAGCATCGTGTCTTGTCTGAGATTACATTATTAAGAGGTTTATTGTACATGAATGCAGCGTATACGTGATGATGAATAAGAAAACGAGGAGATTGTCCAAGATTGCCAAGGAAATGAGGGATGAAATCGAGCCTTATTTAATGGATATTGAGTGTCCCATCATACTTTTCTTCTTTGTGGTAATGGAACAAGATCCTAAGTATTATTCTTGTGCAAAGCTTCAATATCCTCTAGCATTGCTGTTATCCATATAGACACATCTGTGCTTTTGATAGCCTCATGGAAAGTTGATGGCTCTCCATCCTCTGTTAGAAGACATTATGCAATGTTAATTTCAGTAACATATTCTGAGTGCCAAGCCGGTGGTCTTCTTTCACGAGTCGACCGCCGAACATTAAGAGTTTCAAACTCTATTTGTTTTTGCTCTTCATGCTCTAGTACAACTTCAAAAGAAGCATGATTCTGAGTATTTTCCACATGGACTGCTGTAGTATGATGCCACTGTAGCTCTCCTATGTTACAATATATATATACAAGGAAGGTAGCGTGGATGTACACTTGCTTGTATCTTGGCTAGTTAATAAGTTTATATATATATAAATAAAGAAAAAAAAAGAAGGTACTATGTGCTTTGCTGTTCTTCAATGAACGTACGTGAGTGCTATATAAAGTTGGATGGTTCAAGGTGATCAAGGCTCAAAGGTGTTTCGGGTGGAATTTCATGAGGCTTAAAGCTAGATTTGGCTTCATTGTGCTCTTTGGATACTTGAATCTAACTTTGGAAGTTAGAATTTATTTATTGAACTCGCGTTTCTGTCCTTTTATGAGAGTACTCCTATTATTATTATTATTATTTATTTTGCTTCTCCTATAATCTTAATAATTTTATTTTTATTAATGGATTCTAGACTGTTAAAGAATTTTCTTCTTTCTTTCATGGGGATGCACACTGCTCTGCTACTCCATTTTGCCATGGAGTGTATGCTGTTATGAACTGCCTTTTAATACATTCATGTTGATAGAAGTTATCAAATTCATCACTGGTATATTCTCCTCCATTGTCAGTCCTCAAACACTTGATCTTCTTTTCCTAAGTATTTCTGAATCAAAATATTTCAGATATGCACTACCTTAAAACGAAAACAAAAATAATTGAATCTTCCTTTCCTTTCTTTTCCTTTTTCCCTTTTCTCTTTCTTTCTAACTTTTATCTAACAGAAACTCTTCGAACGTACGTGAGTTTTAAAAAACTCACGTATTTAGCTTCGAAAGCTAAATATTGGTTTTGTACGTCACTTGTCGCTAGGCATGACAATAGTTATATAAAAATGTGGGTTGACTTTTAAAAAACAGTAGAGGACAACATATTTTTTTTATTTTAATATTAAAATATTAATATATTTAATAACTTCTAGTTTAATAGTTAAATTTATGATTTGGCTCATGAACATCATTATAATGTACTAACTTGGATAATGTCATTTTAATATTAAAATATTACTATATTTAATAACTTCTAGTTTAACAGTTAAATTTATGATTTGGCTCATGAAGATCATTATAATGTACTAACTTGGATAATGTACTAACTTGGATAGTCAAATGTTTCTTTCTTTATTTTTTATTTTATTATCTCTTTGATTAGCTTTTTTTTATATTATTTTAATTTGATATTAAATTGAAAAGTTATTAAAGAATGAAAAATCATATAAAAAAGAAGTCTTGAGCTTGGATAGTATCGAGTTAATATAGAATTAGAGACTAGGTTGAATGAAGAGGGCGTTCACCCACACTTTTCATGATCATGTTTCCATCAAACGTTCAGGAGATCACAAAGAGACTAGCTCACCGATGAGCATGCAGTTTAATGACACCAACCAAAATGAGGCTCAAATTACTACGCTTGGAAGGAGGACAGTCATACAATATTGTGTTAGGATCAACAAGCCCTTCGCTTGCATCAGTACCACTGCAGCAAATGAGAAAAAAAAAACAGAAAACCCAACAGGAGGAGCTCGAAACATCTGCGTTCAATTGTTGAATCCCTCTACCTTTATGTTTTGTTCAATAAGAGTCCCTTTTTCATAACATCATGCATGAGCTCATATGATACATTTCAGTTGAAGTATGCATGAGCTCATATGATACATTTCAGTTGAAGTATGCATGAGCTCATATGATACATTTCAGTTGAAGTATGCATGAGCTCATATGATACATTTCAGTTGAAGTATGCATGAGCTCATATGATACATTTCTGTTGAAGTAACTCTTCCATTTACGAAAGGATTAAAGAAATATGAAAATAAAAAATAAACAAGTGAAAAAATAATCTACTTTAATTAATTAGGTTTTTTTAGATTTTTTTTCTTGGTTAATTTACTTTATTTTAATCATTAATTAATTCTCACCTCGAATAAAAAATGTAAAAATGAAAGAGCTATTGGATTGTGGTTTCTTAAGCATTCTACTTGGTACTCTAATAGAAAGATATCATGTAGATGTACGAACTCACACGTTGCAACTGCAATAAAAGTACTGTTATTGAAGAAATAAAGCGTAAAAGGACTTAATTGATGTGAAAAAGAATAGGATGTTCCAATAAAAAAATATTGATAAAATATAAGGACGAAATATATATAAACCTTTTTTTTTTTTTTGTAATGTTTAGTTGGAAATAATAAATAAAAATTTAAAGTATACCGATCATGGACCGGAAATAGTAACATGGTAGTTTTTTATGGCAAGAGGCCAAATAATAAGATCGTTCGTTTATAAAATTTAAACCTAATAGTGGTAGACTTCTAGACATTATGTTTTCAAATTGATAGTTGAATATACATTTCAATAAATTAAAATTTTCTAAATTAATTAATAGTTATAAAGCTAGTGAAATTATAAGTGAAATTACTCCCATTCGATTTCTAACAATAATTTTCTTAGCTATAGAATTTTATGTATTTTTGTTGTAATTTTTTTTAAAATGACATATTTATTCATCCAAAATTACTAAATATTATATAAGCTTTTAGTGTCAAATTAATACATTATAAAGTTTTAGGTTGTTGTCTAAAGATATTTACAGAAATATACTATTCTATTTTAAAAACTCATTGCAAAAAGACAAAGGATTTTCTATTGAATTATTCTTTTTCTTTTTTTCAATTTCCTTGATCTTATGTGATATCATAGCTTTTTTTAATAACATTTATAAGTTCCTTATATGATTTCTCTTTCATCTTTTAGTAATCAAGAACAAAATCCTACCTCTCTTTACCAACCGGCCAATAAACTACCATAACATTTTTATTGTTGTTACTTTGAAATACTAACTATTATATATTTTTTTAAACTAATGAATGAATTCTATTTGGTCTTGAATGCTAAAATTAAGTGTGTATTTATTAGATAAGTCTTATATGATTTTATTGATGGATCAAAACCATACTTACTAGCCATTTTATCATAAAGCCCAATAACCTTGAGGAGCACTAATAGACTTTTTAATCATAAAAAAATATATATTTTTCTTATATTGTATTTTTGTAGTTCTAGATTGAAATGTATTTTTTATATTTTGTGGTTTTATTGTTTGAACTAGAGACAGGAAGACTTATAATGTATTAAAAACATATCAAATCTAATGCAAATACTCATTGTAAAGGGTCAAAATATTTTTTTTCCAAATTTTCCTTATCTTTTTTTTTTCCATTCCCTTGATCTTGTATTGAGTTATTGTTCTGAGATATAAGTAGACTTTTCAAATATGAAGGTACAATAATCAATAGTAATGAATTATTGGTTAACTTATGACCCGGGTGACTCAAACAAGATCTGGTGTTTTTTTTTTTTTAAATATGAAATTTAAAATTTATTAGTATATATACTCTATATTTTCAAGAAAAAAAGTTATGCTTTTTTAATATGGGATAAAAAAAATTTTGGTTTAAATACTTTAACTTAAAAGTATAACATACTATTTTTTTAATGTGAGATTTGAAACTTATTAGTATATATTCGCTATATTCACAAGAAAAAAACTATGTTTTTTCAATGTGGAATTTAAAACCGATTGGTATATATACTATATGTTCCAAAAAAAAAAATTATTTTTTTTAATGTGGGATAATTGTTTTTTTTAGTTTAAATACTTAAACTTGAAAATTTAACATAATATCTTTTTAATGTGGGATAACAAATATTTTTAAATATTCTTTTAAACTTCATCATTTATAATATGTATAACCTATATTTACATGGATGTTTTTTAATTTTTCATATAAGATATTAAAACTTTATTTTTTTAATTTTTCCAGATTGATCCGAGTTGATCCAAGTTGAACCATGAAACCAAAGACGTGGTCCTTGACCGGGTCAACTCCTGAGCTAGATTTAATAATTATGAAAAAAACTGTATAAGTGAGATATTATAGATTTACTGCTTCACTTTCAAGAATTTTACCAAAAACTATAGATATCAATTTCTACCAAACTACAGCTTCACCAAGGTCAAGTCTATCCAATTGCAATCAAAAACTCAAAAGCTCATATACCGGGATAGGAAGTAAAACTTCCTTTGGTTTTGATATGTTAAATTCCATACTTCTACTCTAAAAAATAATTTCCAAGAACACAACTCCATAACTGCAAACATTTGTCTTCACTAATTTTATACTGTTGATCTTATTCCATTTAAGTGTCATATAACTTATTATAGCTCTAGTTATCAAGGTTTTTATTTGGTTATGCCCTAAAACCTTTGCCAGCCTAAAATACTAAACTATAAAGAGGAAAAAAAGGTTTTGTTTGAAAGGGTTTTATAATTTAGATGATTGTGTTATCATGGAAAATTCATTTTCTTATGGATATTAGGTGCTTACGAGGATAAATATGAAAGTAAGTTGGAAATGGGACATAATTAAGAAATCAAGTTTATTTTATCAAATTGGTTTGGTTGAGTTCTTGTTTCCATATATAGTAAAAACAATATTAAAAGTAAAAGGAATAACTCCAAAGCCATGCAAGAAGAAAAGATATAAAATGAGTGAAATAGATACATAAAAGATAGTTATTGTTCAAGACTTGAGAACATACAAACTAATTGTTAAATAGAAGAAAATTCTAGCCAAAACTAAAACCATGTGAAATGAATTATTTATTTATTAATACTAGGAAGCTG